CTGAGGTTGTATTTACCTACTTTTGAGAACTGCTAAGGACCAGCTGATTTTCATTATGTCCTGATACATAAAACCATAGAACTCAAAGAGGGTGTACTTTCTTTTTCACACGACTGTATATTACATTGTTTTAAATGCCTGAAAATTGCTATTAAACTCTAAGCAAAGCATAAATATGGTCAACACAATATAGATCATAAAATGAGATTATGAACTACAATAAATTCTGTCCATACTACTAAAAGTCTATTCTAATTTAAAAATACTATAAAATTGAAATATAGACTTTAGGCAGAGAGAAACCCAAATTATGGATGTGTTACAAATCCATGTACTGTACTGAACTGTTGTGTAGGAATGGTTTATAATTTGAATTTAACTGTGTTGTCAGATTTACTTTTAAGATACGAAGTTAGTCTAGATGCTGAAGCATGCTCCCATAACTTAGCTGTTCTTCCATAGAAGGGATCTAAGGTCTATCAATAAAATATAGTATTCTTGCACCAATTAGCATATACAAAGTTAATTCAGTAAACTCTGAGGGAATATATAGTTTAGTAAACTTTAGTAAAACTATCACAGGTTGAAATGGAATTCGACTTTTAAGATTTGTTTATTCTAGTATGCAATTTTCCAAAATTGTTGAGCTTTATAAAATTGCCACCAGATATGAAAAATGATCCGACCTGCTCATTACATTTCCAGCATTTTTTAGAAAATGAACTATCCATTTTAGCATTCAGAACTGGAGTAACATACCAACAATAAAACATCTTATACCATTTTTTTCTCTATATAATATTCTTTCATTGAAATTTCCATTGTTGCATATATATTCTTGCATCTTAAATCCATTTAATTATACAATCTTTGACTTGTTCGGTTTCTGAGTCATATTGCACCAGCAATTTATAAATAAAGCCCAGCAGATTCTTACATATTATAAGACTTTCAAATTCAATCAAATCCCTAAGAGTTCCCCTTGTTTCTCCATTCTTTTAATCCTGTACTACTTATCTGAAGACACTGAAACCTGTCTGGTGGACCAAGCCATTGTGAATTAAGAATCTCATTTTTTAAAATTTTATTAATAATTAACTCTTATAATCGAAATTATTATCTCTCCACTGAGTTAATTTCTTTTGCTTTTTTCTTCATAAAAATAAACATTTAATAGAAGACGGGAAAAACTGGACTTATTATTTTCCTGTATTTATTCCAGACATCCAATACATGGCTTATTATTGCATCTCTCTTATAAATTGTTTGTTTCTGTTGTCTCAATTCAGAAATATTTATGCAGACAGTCTAGAAGTCCTCCCCCTTCTATAGAGGTAACTGGGCCATTAGGAGATACAATCCACTCTGTAATCCATGGTAAGCAACTGACATGGCAAAACAGTTTTAAAATTTGGAGTTGCCAGTCTACCTCGTTCTTCAAATCCTGTAAAATCTTTAATTCTTAGGACACAGGAGACCTTGAGGGTATTCAGGAAAGGGTCTACAGCTAACTGCCTTGTGTACCTTGAGGGTATGCTAAACTTTTCAAACTGCCTTGTGTACCTTGAGGGTATTCAGGAAAGGGTCTATAGCTAAACCGGTTCAAACTGCCTTGTGTGTTGCAATCTCTTGCCCCTATAAGACTATAAAA